GACGGTGAACTCGGTTTGACCTCCTTTCGTGTTCCCGTGTTTTCACAGTAAAATGAATAAATAATTTAATTTCGATTAAATTCTTGTTCAAGATTATTGTGGCAATTAATATTGAATTTCTACCATAAAATATAATAGTATTTTAATTGAAATCTAATTAGTAATTATTTAAATGTCAATTAAAGTCCTTTTCAAAATCATTGTGGAAATTGATTGTTGTTGTTTAGATTATATTTTAATTGATTTTCATATGATTTAATTATAATTGAATTATTTATATATTGGATATCAATCAAGACCATTTTTAGAATTAATTATGCAAATTAATTTTCATTAATAATTAATGGTGGAAATTAATTCTTATAATTAAATGTTATTGAAAATCCTTTTATTTTATGTTGCCTTGTAGTGGGGAATAAATAAATATAAAATCAATTCAAATTAGTTAAGCATCCCAATTTATACAATTAATATTAAATCGATTTTAAATATAATGGGCTATTAAATCAAAACCACCAATTAATTTTGAAAAGGATTTTAATTAATATCTAATTGTAAGAATTAATTTCTATAATGAATTTTAAAGATAATTTGGAAAGGATTTATATTACAATCTAATATCTAATAAATAATAATTTCCACAATCAATATCAAAAGGATTTTTGATTGAAATCTCCTAATTAAAATTTACCTAATTCTATATTCATTCTAGTTTAACTATTCAAAAAAATATATTTTATTAAATCCTATATTTTACAATATTCTTTTGCACTAGGAGTGCTGGGAATAAAATATAAATTGTAGATAGTAATTGTTTAAAATAATCCCTTGGAATAATCATTGTTATATTAAGATTAATTTATGTATAATTGTCTAATTCAAAAGGTTTCCTCTAAATTTCATTATTTCTGCGAATAAAATATAATATTTTCATTTCGCAAAATTTCCTCTGGATTTCTGGAAATATTATGGTGTTTTACCCAAGCATATATATTTCAAAAATATTCCTTTAATGAAAATATAAAAATCTAAGAAATTTATGTTCCCAGATATGCAGAGGAAAATTATTGAATCTAGAAATATAATATTATTTCGTCATTTATTCATAATATTATATTCATTGTGGACAAAGAGAGATTTACCTAATGATATGTATCATTAGTATTGCACATTGATAGTAGGCAGACGAAGAATTGTTTTAATTATTTGTTATCATTGACATTAAATATAAAGATTGGGCACAAACAAATCAAAAAATATCAAAAAATTACGTTTCGCCTAATTTTCAGAACAATTTTTAAAATTTTGCACGGTATTTATAGCATGTTAAATGAATGCGAATTCTCGCAAACATACCCATCCTTTATATATATTATTGGTTTATGTATTCTTCATTTTCATTATTATTTAATTATAATCAAATATTACCTTTCTTAAATTTATTCCCATTTGCCCAACCTTTATTTACGAATTTTTCAATTAATTATATTTATTCCCACCCATCCAAATTTAATATTCATCACGTGCACACTCACACGCATCCCATCATAATCAACAAAAATTAAAAAAATAACAATTTTTGGTTACCTCATCCAATATCACAATAAATTCTAAATAATATATATTTATTTATAGTATATATATATATATTTCATTATGTTCGTTTTAAAATAGTATAAATATAAATAAAATTATTTTTCTTTATAAATATTATTTAAATACCCATCGCAAAATATATATTAAGTTATAATATCCCTATATATAATTCATAAATTAAACAAATATATAGATTTTTATATTATATTTCCTCCAATACAATATTTCCTCTATTCCATAACCTATAATAAATAAATATAAATTCGATTCAATAAAGAATTAATTTAAAAACGACGAATACGTTATTTCGATAAATAAATCTAAAAAAATTTATTCAATTATTTAAATTCCATAAAATCGAATATTTCAAAAATTTTAAATATATATCGTACTTTCCTAAAAAACAATATTAAAATTATACCGATATATATTTTTAGTAATTGTTTCTATTTATTATATCGAATATTAAAAAAAATATCTATATATTTCGACCGCATCGGCAGCGTGGTCCCGGAATCGTTCTGAATTTTTGAAGCTCTGAAACTCCGCGTCTTCGCTTTGGCTTTGAAACTCCTGAAGCTCTTGAAGCTCTGCAGCTCCGCGTCTTCGGTGGATCTGTGAAGCTTCTGAAGCTCCTGGAGCTCTGCAGCTTTGAAGCTCCGCGTCTTCGTTTTTGAAGCTTTGAAGCTCTGCAGCTCGGCGTCTTCGTGTCTTCGGTTGAAGCTCTGAAGCTCT